ACACACACGCACGTCAAATGTAACTATAACTCACAGGAGCAGCTTTACTAGGCACAAAAGAGTCAATGTCTTTCTTGATGATCCTGCCATCGGGCCCCGTCCCTGGAAGAGATACAAATAAAGCCAACACAGGACAGCATTCAGTGGATTCCTGCAAAAGGTCAGTAGTGGACTCCTAGGGACTATCTCTTAGAAATATTCTGACGGGACCACGGCCTTCCGTCCTGGCCCTTAACGTTTTCCCTGAAAGGGAAACACCAGCGTTTGTCAAGGATCCATTTCAATTCCTCTGGAGTACCTTACTTGATCTATTGTACTTCTTTTTAAATATAGCAACGATCGTTTTACTTTTGCATTTTTTGAGAATTTACCTAATTAAACGGTACTTAGTTTTTTTACATCTTTTTAGCAGCAATATAAAGACAGAGCTGAGTACAGCTTACACCTCCAAAAGGATGGGTAGGCACGTACTTCCTCTTGGTCAGCTCCAAAGGACCCTTGTAGAACTTTTAATCAGCTTCCCTTAGTCATCAAGAATTCCTTTGTACAGAATTGTCAGATATGATAACAACTGTTTTTAACATATTGAGCAAGTCTTTTTTTTTTTCAATAAGATTTTGGTCCTAAAAGGACAGTTAAAAATAGCACAGAATGACTTCACTGCAATGATCTCATCTCTTTAAAACCCCAGATTCACTACCATCAAGTCGAAGCCAACTCAGAGCAACCCTATAGGGCAGGGTGAACTGCCCCTGTAGGTTTCAGAGACTTTAACTCTTTATAAGGAAGAAAGCCTCATCTGTCTCTTGCAGTGTAGCTGGTGGTTTCAAAAGGCTGACCTTGCAGTTAGCAGCCAACACCTAACCCACCAGCGGCCCTGCTATCATTTCTAGAGCCACTCAATCTCTGTGGTCTCTACCACTCTCAACTTATTCAATTTTCTTCCCTCCTCCCATCCCAACCCAAGTAGATAATCCTGAACCTTAATTCTAAGAAGATCCAGAATTAAGTTATTAGAATACCTTTAACATTGGCCCACTTCTAGAATAAATTTGATCAAATTGATTCATCTTCCCCCAAGGCAGACTTTTAAAAGGGTTCTCTTTCGATGTGTGAAGTTCTTCCCAACTCCTTTCCTTCATTATGAAAACTGAGGAGTTGGCTAGGATTGTGTTTATCCTCACCAGGAACTCTAGAATAGAGGTGGCAGTATTCCCCTGTTAGATTTCCCTCCTGTATGGGAAAGACAGAAACCGTAACCTCCCCTTACACCCAAGGCTAGCCTGGCCACCATACGCCTTTCAGAGGAAACTAGAACAAGCCTCAGCTTCCGACAAGAATCTCCTGGGTATCAGGAGTTAGTTTAAACTAGTATTCAGAGTTTGTAGAAATCCTTTTGCCTATTTCCCTAAGGTACAATAAAAACCAAACCCATTGCCATTCAATCAATTCCAACTCATCAAATTAAACCGAACTATCTTCATGTCATTTCCGAATCATGGGGACTCTAGGACAGAGCAGAACTGCCCTATGGTTTCTGAGGCTGTACATATTTATGGGAGCAGAAAGTCTCACCTTTCTCAGGGGTTGATAGATTGGAACTGCTGAGCTTCCCGTCAGCAACCCACTACACCATAGGGCTTCTTTCCATCTTTTTGGGATAAAGGAACACGGGATTAGTTTTAAAATGCAGGGTCTCTGTCAAGCATAAACTAGAAAGGTGGCCGTAGTGACTTAATCTCACCTGGCCTTTGGTCTCCTCATCTGTAGATGGGGATTATCAGTCCCTGCTCACAAAATAAGAAGCTTTGGTAGTGTAGCAGTTGCTTGTTGGGCTGCTAACCCCAAGGTCAACAGTTTACGACCAGCAGCCACTCCATGGGAGAAAGATGAGGCTTTCTACTCCTGTAAAACAGTTACAGCCTGGGAAACTCAGTTCTCCCATACCCTGTAGGGTTGCTATGAGTTGGAATCAACTCAATGGCAGTGAGTTTGGTTTTGGGGAAGCTCACAAAATGGTTGTGAGGATAAAACGTGATCATCTGTTAATTAATATTTCCCCTTAGTACTTCCCTAATTGGTTTTTGTCTGTTTGCTTTTAATCTCAGACCACAAATTCCTCAATATCTGAGGATGGGTTAAGTATTTTCTTTGCTCCCCATAACAATGTCCAAACCATCTCTCCTCTTCGTCCTTTCAAAATCCTGTTTCCTTTGAAATTCATGTCACCTCGCAATAGAGTTCAGTCTGGTTCTCTGCCATCTACTAACTAATTGATAATTATTCCTCTTTGTTTAATTTGGCTCCTAGTCTACTGTCCCGGGGATTAAAACTTCTCTAGCACCTAGGCTTCTACATTCTTTCACTTTCTCAACTTCAACTTTTCCCTCCCATCTCACAAGAGACTTCCCTTCCCCCATTTTCTAAAGTTAAATTCTTGACCTTGTTATCAGCACTGACTAACCACTCCTCTTTGAAATCTGGGTTTCCAGCTGCCCCCTCTCTCATTGCCATCATGGATCCTTTTACCTCCTTACTGTAGACCAGGGGTCCTCAAACTTTTTAAACAGGGGACCAGTTCACTATCCCTCAGACTGTTGGAGGGCCAGACTATCGTTTTTAAAAAAAACGATGAACAAATTCCTATGCACACTGGACCAGTTGGCTGCTGAGCAGGGCAGACAGCGGCGACAAAAACACCTGGGAGGCCAGATAAATGTCCTCGGTGGGCCGCATGTGGCCTGCAGACTGTAGTTTGAGGACCCCTGCTGTAGACCGTCCACTCTCCCACTGCAAAAACCCTCCCAACCTGATCACGACCTCCACGCCACTGAGCCCCCGACCCTTATTATCCAGCCTCCCCCTTCCACCCAACTTAGATTCCTTAGATCACCGTTCAAATCACTCTCAGACAATTCTAAAATGTTTGCCTTTTCCATGCCAGAACCAGAGTAGTTTAATGCTGGCAGAGAAAAGAGAAAACTACATGCCTGGGCCGACTGCCTGTACTATAAATTCAGCCATAAACCTAAAACAGACACGCAAAATGCCCCTTAAATTCAATTATGTTTCATTTAAATATGCTTTTCACTTTCTGAGATTACTCCTTTTATATCCTCTCTAACCTCAAACCTCTCCACACTCAGTATCCAGCTGATCTCCATGCTTTGGTGATCAAAGGAAGGAAAAAATAACTCTTACCTTCTACAACCAAACCGACAAACTCATCTCATAATCTTTCCCCTCCTGTTGGTCATTCTTATCAATGACCAATCCCATCCTGTCTTACATTCTCAAGAATTGTGCTCCTTGCCAAATCATTCTGTCTGTGATCCCTTTCTGTATCACTAAGGAGCTCTGGTGACACAGTGAGTTAAGCATCGGGCCCTCATCACCCAGACACTCCCAAGGGCGACAGATGAGACGACTGCTCCTGTAAAGATTTTCAAGAAACCCTAAGGAGCCATTCTATTCTTATAGGGTCACAATGCATAAGGATCAATTTGACAGCAGTGTGTGAATGGGTGAGAGTGTTATCATTGTCACTGTACTCTAAAGAATATAGTGGTTCTCCCTTGGGGTAATTTCCCGCTCCTCCCAGGAGATACTGGGCAATGTCTGAAGACATTTTTGGTTGTCACAACTACCCCTTAGTGGACACAGGCCAGAGATATTGCTAAATATCATACACTGCACAGGACACCCCGCTCCAATCAAAGTTATCTGGTCCAAACTGTCAAAAGGGCCATGGTTGAGAAACTCTGTATGAGGGTCGTTCTATGCTCTCTTACAAGTTCTCTACTGAACCCACATTCTCCAGCAATGACACCGCAATTCCTGTCTCCCTTCACAGCACTGCTCCTTGAATGAATTTCTCCACTATGCTATTTCTATTTCCTCACACATTTTCCACTTTACAACCTATCCAGCTACTTCCACCCCATATTTCTTCTGAAATTACCACGGTCAAGAACTCATATCCAGTATTTTGCTAAGTTCTGTTGCTCCTACCTCTAAAACGAATCTTCTCAAAAAACTCACTGCCGTGGGACTTACAGTGACTGTAGGACAGGGCAGAACAGCCCTGTGGGTTTACAGGTCTGAAATTCTTTACGGGAGTAGAAAGCCCTGTCTTTCTTCCATAGAGCAGCTAGCGGTTTCAAACTGCTGGCTTCTGGCTAGCAGCCCAATATGTAACCACTATGCACCAGGGTTCCTTAAAATCCATCTTGCATCTGTCTGTCCATTTCTTCTTCACCACATTAGTCTAAGTTACTCTCACCAGCTCCAGCAATAGCACTTTAAGGTGTCCTGGTTGGTTCAATTCATTTCCTCAAAACAGCTAAAATGACCTTTAAAAAGCATAAATCATTTTATGTCATTTCTTGTTTAAATTCTTCAATGGCTTCCTACTATGTTAAATTAGAATTTTAGCATAATCTTTGGCTATTGCCTATTACATTATCATGATCACATATATAGATATGTAAGTGGTAGCTCTTTAAGGCCCTGAATGTTTTCACTCTTGTTGCTCTCCAAACTCTTCTCCCACCACTGGGTCCTAAGCTCCACTTTGCTCACTAGCCTCCTTTTAAGTTGCTCAAACATGCTGCACTCTTCCCCAATTCCGACTGTGCATTGACTGATGGGTCTCTCTGCCCAAACTGCTCCGTCCCCCCTTCTTCACATGGCTCACAGCTCACTCCTCCTCAGCTTTGGGGTCAGATCCAATGTGATCTCATCAAAAGTTGACCCCCAACACCCCACTGTCTAAAAGCAATCACGACTGCATATTTATCCACTCCGTCACTCCCTAATCCCTCATTAGTGTATGACTCATACACTGGCACATAACTCAATTTCTTTCTTTTGTAGCTCTTAAATGATGTTTATTGCTATTATAACTTAGAAGTAAATGTGCTTCTTCTAGGTAGTTTATATGTAAACATTTAAAACAAACAACTTTTTGAAGTATTTTATATACAAATCAATAAATTGAGACACAAAAAGTTAAGATGATGGTCCAATATCATATAGCTAGTACATGTGGTAGCGCTAGGATTTGAACCCAAGCATTTCAGCTCCAGAGCCCCAAACCTTAACTACTATGCTATATTCTCTTTCTTTTCACTTAATTCTTTATCGCTGACAATATAAGCAACTTGACAACTGAGATCTTGTCTTATTCTTCTTAAGAACACTATCTGGTGCTTAGGGACAGTGCACAATGATTATTTGTTGAAATAATAAAGCAATCAGCCAACTATGCATGCCTGATATAAATATTGGGATTTTTTCCCCACATCTGTATTTAGCAAAGTAGCCAGTGTTGCTAAATTTCTAATAAATTTGCCCAAGTTCTTGATATGTAATTGTTAACCAAGCCCATCTTTCCCATAAAATATAGACACATTTAATTCTCACATCGTTCTCCCTGATTCAAGTCACAAACATGTAATGAATAGCAGTATTAGTAAAATAGTAATATCATGAAAGAGGGCTTCCAATATTATTAGTAATCTTCTGAGTCCAAAAAACCCCCCCACTTTATAACTGTGTCTTGGGATTGGCTCGCCTTCTAACCAGAAAGCAGATTGCAAACAGATGACAACTAGCAGCGAGTGCCCACAGCTGGGTAACTAAGGAAACAGTTGTATTTTCCTTTAGTAAATAAGGATAACAGAGCAGCACAGAAGGCAACGTAGGTGCAACTGAGTGGAACACAGGATTTGGATTACGTAATAAGAAGGATGACCTCTTAATTCTCAAGTTTATTATTCAAAAATTTTAACTGATATTTTTTACCTTAAAGAAGTGATTTGTCACTAAATGTGGTAAGTTAAATGCCTAGCACATAGTACCAGCCATCAAATTGGGTTTCAAGAATAATTTCCCCTTTTTCAAAATAAGAACCTTATGCATAGTTAAAAAATATTTAGGTGCAATAATATGAACAATTAACTGGCATGAAGTGATTATTAAAAGCTAGATACTATTCTAGCTTGAAGCTAATTTAATCCTCACAATGCAATATAATGTACACTAATTATTATTCCTGTGATTCATTTTATACACTTCAAATCAACCCAAGTTGATGTCTTCTTTTGTTTTTTTCACTTATGAAAACAGTTAACCTAGCACCAGTGGAGATCTCTTATCACACCATCAAGTCCTAGAACCCACCCTTCCTGAACAAGCACTTTATACTTTTAGTCATCACCACCGATTAAGCATGGTTCACATGCCTAGAAGAGAATGAAAAGGCATCAAGACTGAAGAGGTACACCCTAAGGCAGACTAACGTAGCAAAGTAGCAGTTTCCCTACTCTTCTGTGGTAGCATGTACAGAGATAATCCCCTGGCCCAGTCTTCCTCCCCTAGGCCAGTTAAAAAGACTCTAGTTGTACTTGCTGGTCTTAAGGAGGAAAATCAATTCAGTTTTAATTCTGCAACCCCATTCTGCAGGAACAGGCTTACCTTTTACTTGTGCAAGGTCAATCCCTTTTTCTGCTGCCATTTTCTTTGCAAGAGGGCTAACAAACACCCTTCCCCCCTTTGGTCCAGCAGGAGTAGCTGGGCGGGCAGCTGAAGGTGCAGGGGGTAGAGGCTGGGCAGTGGGAGGTACAGTGGCCACCTTTAAAAAAAAGTTACAAATGGTTCAATTCACTGTTGCAAAAACGGGTCTGAATAATGCAGGGTTTACATTTAATAAGAAATTAAAAATTTTAATTAAACAATTTTCATCTCTTTTCCAAAGATCATAATGTAGTACGGTTTAATAGCCAGAACAGGAAGTAATATTATCTTGTTCCATGGTAATATAAAAAGGTGTGAAATCTAATATTGCTGATCAGGGCAAATCACTTCACAGCCTTTCTTCATTTGCCAGCCATGTCTTTATTTTCAGTCTTTCATACCGCCAATATTTTTTAAAACTTAAGTTTCAAAATCCAAAATCATGCTGGAACATTCCATGTTGAAAATAATCTTAAGAAATAATTCTGTACTGCTACTTGCTAGCTCCCTACGAATGCATGGCAATCAGAACTCAAGTTTTCTCTGAAATGAGGACCTAGTCTAAACTCATGTGATCCTAACACCTGCAGAAGCCTTCACGTTCTACATAAAACCAACCATAAAGATATACTTATGTCCATGTTAAAACAAGTCATGTTATGGCAAAATGCCAATGAATTATGAGCCTATGCTTGACTTAGGATAATAGGTACACACCAAGAGGATTGACAGCAGCTAGTAGGTACTCTACAGTCAATGTTATAGAAAACGAATCACGGAGAACCAGGAGATCTGCACCTGAAGCAGGGTAAGAACATGCCAGCCATACCTGGAACTTCACTATGCTTTGGTCTCAGCGGGGCTCACAGACTGCAGGGAGGCAAAAAGTTACAAGGAACAAACTATTGACCATTAAGGCAACTAGTGCTGTGCCATATATGCTATTCAAACATTTTAAAAACCAGCGTTATGGAATTGTTTCCAACTTATAGCAACCCAAAATAATTCAGAGTAGAGCTACTACGCCTTACAGTTTCCAGGGCTATACTACTAAAGCTTTAACTTTCTTCCGCAGAGTAGCTGGAAGGTTTGAGCCACTGACCTTGTGGTTAGGAGTCCAATGCTTAACCCAAAACACTACCAGGACTCCTTACACACACTTCCAATATGTTAACTCTCTTTTCCCATTCACAGAATTGTAGAGCCTCCGTGCACTTAGTTATGAACAAGAGTAAGTGCTCCCTCAATTGCAGAAGCATACCTACCAGGGGCAGTGTAGGCGGTGGTGCCTGGGGTTTTAAATCGGCTACTTCAGTTGGCCTGTAGTCAGCAAATGCTGGTATATCTGCCTCTTTTTCCACAATAATACAGAGGGGGGTTCCTAGAGGGACATCTCTTGTGCCTTCAGGAATCAGGATTTTTGCCAAGTAACCTTCTTCCTGTACTTCAAAACCTTCAACAGAAAGAAAAACCATTATGATACTTAATTAGGCCTCCAAAATCCCTCTAAACTCAAAATATGTAAGTAAAAGGCTCTCCTCCTTCCAACTAGCTATATAACCTTTATGCAGGTTACGTAACCTACGTCTATTTCTTTACCTATAAAACAGGGATAACAGTACCTACCTCTTAGATGTTATAAAGATTATGTGAATATTTTTTAATCCTTAGGATACTTTTTGAATTCTCAGAACAGTATCTGGCACAAAGTAAATATAAATAAGTATTTGTTAAATAAAACTGAGAGATTACAGATGATGGTTAGTTCTGAAAGTTCTTCTTAAAAACACCCCTAAGGGCACAAAAGACAAAGGCTGTTACATTAAAAGTGAAGTGAGCTTTATTACTAAAATTATTTTGGGAACTTTTCAAAAAGCTTGTACTTAGTTGCATCATGTACTTTGATGTGAAAGATACATGATAAACTCTAGCATTACTAGAGTTTCTATGGCACCAACAACTTTTTGGTTTTTTTTTAACAACTTCTGTTTTATTAAGCTTTTTGTTTTTTTCTACTATGAACCCCATACAAAAGGTTATACAACTACAACTAAAAGCCAGCCAGCCACCAGAAGATAAGGCTCACCTTTCTGATCCTGCCCCTGCACCTCTCTTGGAAGAACACAGTACTAGTAAATCCTTCACTTTCCCAGTGGAGAATTAAAATGCAATAAAAGGTATGTCTAAGACATG